CTCGCCCGGGGCCGGCGCGGCCGCTGTCAGGGCTGCGGTCGTCCTGGCGAAGCGGGTGGGTGAGAAGGCGAGGTGTGAGGAGCTGGCCAAGCCATCCCTCCTGGCTGGTCGGTGGAGAAAGCGGGCGGCTTCACCTCGGGGACAAAAACAGCGCTCTGCTGTGTTTCGGTAGGATTTTGCATTTCCAGTATAGAGGTACAGAGCGGACCCCTGCAGGTTTAGATTGGATGTAAGGAAAAATTTCTTTACTGAAAGAGTGGTTAAACATTGGACCAGGCTGCCCAGGGAAGTGGTTGAGTCACCATCCCTGGAAGTATTTAAAAAACGGGTAGACGAGGCGCTTAGGGACATGGTTTAGTGGGTGTGGTGGTGTTGGGTCGACGGTTGGACTCGATGATCTTGGAGGTCTCTTCCAACCTTAATGATTCTATGATTCTATGATTCTAAAGGTGGGAAGCTTGGTTTGCAATAACTGTAGAATAACGAGGTGCTTCCCCCCCTCCCCCCAAGTTAGGAGTTTGTCTTGAACCCCGATTCCCTATCCCTAAAACTGCTCCTCAGATGTTTTCTCAGTTTCAGCGGCGGTTGCCAGGGGTTGGCACGCAGCAAGGGAAGGCGGCAGCCATCTCCCCGCTGTGAGATCACGGTAGAAGCTGAGATCACTGGAAATTTCCTGGCCTCTGGCACCGAGTGCTGCGAGCAGCCTGGAGGCTGGTTGTGCTGGTGACGCACTGTACAGCAAGGAGAACAAGCTGTGATTTATGTGCAGTTTTAATTTCCTTCCATGCTAACAGTATACACAACCTTTTCTTAGCGAAGTCTGTACGCAGCCGCGATGCCTACAGCAGCGAGGCAGTCAGTTCACTGCTCTGCTCTCGGAAAAAAGAAAAAAGAAAATAACATTGGTTTTCTAACAAGGTCACGTTAAGGTTTGAATTGTTCTCGAGGGAGGTCGTGTGAGGAGCTTGCTTTCTGATTAAGGAGCAGAGTTCGCAGCTCAGTAACTTTTCATTCTTGCATGTTTTTCTTGGGGAAATCCAGGTATCCCACCTCTCGCAGACAATGCATCTGCCTACGCATACACCTGCCCTTCGTTCTCAACTAAAGACTGAGCTGTCTTCAATTTCCATGTCTTTCTGGCTTGGGTAAAGCCCTGTGAACCTACGGGGTAAGCAAGGGAAGGAAACTATGCTGTGAGGAACTTTTCGTATGGACCAGTGTCCATAGCTGGTACCCGGGGGAGAATGAGTACGCCAAATGGATTTCCACAGCACTCAGGGGCATGTGTTACTCAGAGCACGGGGGGTGGAGCAGTACAGGACCTGCACGCTAAAAAAGCTGGCAAAGCAGCAAAGAAGGAGGCTGGTGGCAATGGGGTGCTTACCTTTGAAGATCCTCCAAGTGTAGGCACCTCTTTAAATGAAACCTTAAAGCTTCTACCAGATGAACTCAAAGCTAATATGAAAATTAAGTCGGTCACTCCAAGGCCTCCTCGGAAACCCCGGCTGGAGCGTGCTGCATCTCTGGATGAGAAAAGCTGGAGGAGATGGAGGCGGTTTAGAACAAGTCAGGAAAGTCTGACTGATCCCAATGAGACAAGTTCCTCAAACAGTTCTCTGCAGGAAGCGTCCCTCAGCCCTCCCATCAGGGGTGGAGCGAGCCCCTGCCATCGGTGCTGCCAGCAGAATTCCTTGCACAGTTCACCAGATGCCTCGGAAGCCAGTCCCGTGGGGAAGAGCAGAGGAGGCACCTCCGACCTGGGGAAACGAGCCTCCGAGATCTCCAGTGCCTTTGGTGGGCTTCTGCGGGGGAAGGCGTTTGCAGGCGGCAAACCCCGGCTGTCCCAAATAATGCCGGCTCGACCTCTGCCACCCATGGAGCTCAACGTGGCCTCTCACACACTGAGGACAGCTAATAGGATTGACTCAGATTGTATGGATTATCGACATTATTCTCAGCACAAGTTTGGGAGGGTAAGCAGCAGCTTGAGCGATACCAGGCTACATGGCAACGGGATGGTCTATGATAATTGCTCCACAGACTCCATGAAATCTACGTTCAGCCTGCTCAATCCCATTCGCTCCAAGGATGTGCGAAGCAGGTATGTCTCCCGGCTTCTCGTGGCAAAGTTTGGGGTGTGTTAGCGGGGAGCCAGCTGCCCTGCAGAATCCTGCTGGGCAGAGGCAGGGAACTTCAGACCGATTGGTAAAGCATGAAAGTGTTTCCATGTTGTTTAACCTGCTATGGAGACTGGAAACAGTTTGAAGATGAAGAGATTAGTACAAATACTCTATATTTGCTCCTTTCAGATGGGTATTGTTTTTCATAAATACAAGTTTGATTTGCTATCAGCTTGCTTGTAATATTTAAGTAATCTGTTCTGAAAATTAAGAAACAGTGGTTGTGCATGCTAACAGTTGGGAAAAACTGGTTTATTTTTTTAAATCTAAAAGTACAGTGGGCTTGAACTGAAATGTTAAATGGCAGGAAAAAAACCCCAATATTTTAGCTTGAAACTATCATGCAGTACATGCAGTACTGTCACAATCCTGCAAGGTGCTGAGGGTCCTCTGCAGATGCTGAGCTTGTTTGGCTTCTGGCAGGATCAAATCATGTACTGTGAACTGCTTCAGTGTCCCACAGGAGCTCCTCTGCCCCAGCTTTTCCAGGAATCTCTTGAGGAAGAGTGTGATTCCACTCAGCACTTTCTCCTCGTGTGGCCCTGACCTCTTGCTCTGGTTGCTCATTTGTCTTCGTTCTTAGTTAAGTTTAGATTATTGATTGGAGGGAGCTGAGGTGGGTATACTAATCCGCTTGCTAGTGTATCAAATCCTCTTCTTGCGTTGGCTGCAGACCCTCTATTCGTGAAGACCTGCCAGCACACAGCACAAACACTGCAACGAGTATTATTGATAATACTGCAGGTCAGGAGACATGTTAAAAGGTAAAGGATACCAAATACTCAGCTAAAGGTTATACGTTATAGATACACAACAGTCTGCAAGGCCTTGAGGGATAAACCTGATCGTTGATCCAAAGAGTGGGAGTCAGTGGTACAGGGGAAAATAATTCTGAGATAAATTGAAGTGTTACTAACTGGTAAAAAAGCCCCAAAGATAGACTGGTACTTGTTCGCCATGAGGGGGTTTCTTGCACTTCCCTCTGCAAAGCTGTTGGAGTCAGGTGGGCAACTGGGTAGACCAGTGGGTTGCACAGCATTCCCTGACGTCGTGCTGTCATCATTATTTGCAGAGCTTAAGCAAGATTAAAAATGCTTATGCAACTTGCAGTCCTTTTGCCAATACCCCTTGCTTTTGTAAGCAGCGTGTTCTTTGGAGAGGCAGGGGGTGTGGGGCAGGTCTGTCCTTTTCAAATGTGATATTCTTTTAGACCTGGGACTCAATAAATCGTTTACTTGAAAGCTAACTTGATGAGCTGAATTGAAGGAAGAATGTGAGTTTGAATCCTTGATTAGGAGCAACTTGGTGCCAGAACACTGGGAATGGTGGACCTATTTTTATGTTTTAAGTAAACTGAGCTACTTCAAGGTACTCAAATATCAAACCAATCTCTTCATTTTGTGTCTGCGGCAAGCACTAGGGGGATTGAAGACTTTGGGTGGCTTAAGTCTTCTCATCACAGAACCTGTGCAGCATCAGTCTCACCATCGTACTCGTGTCCTGGCTTTGAAAAGGCCGGTTTATGACAATAGTTTTGTTTTCTTGCATATGATCCATGAACTCTCTATAAGGGTTGGAACTTTATAAGGAACTTTAGGCAAGCAGAAGAGTATATAAGTACTAAATGCCATTTTCTTGAGCTGAAGGTATGTTCTTGATTAACTCAAGATTCAAGCGTTACAAATCATTATTCCAACTGTCATGCTGTTTCCTTAGATGCTCTTTTATGGGTCTTCTGTTCACAGAAGCTATTTGGAAGGCAGCCTTCTGGCAAATGGTGCCTTACTGGGAGCAGAAGAACTTAGCAAGTATTTCCCTGATCGGAATATTGGAATCTTTGTGGCCACCTGGAACATGCAGGGTCAGAAGGTATGTGCACTTAGGTCTCCACAGGTCTTTTGGCGGTGGTAAAGTTACCCCATCTTTACTGCAAGGACGGGTGCGATGTTTTTTTTCTGTTCATGACTATGTTCCTCATCAACCTGAGTTCATCATCTTTATCAAATTACAAGGCCCTCTCACGCACATTCATCTTAGTGAGAGAGCCACTGTAACAGGGTTCCTCAGATACTAGGTATGAAAACAGTGAGCTTGCTGGTGCCACTCTGGCTTTTTGTGGCAGCTCCTTTACGCTCCGTTGCAATTAGGGTCGCATGAAGATGGCTGACAGTTTAGTGCTTACGATGAGAACATCTCTGATAAAGAACACAGCCTCCTGCCTATGTCTTTACGTAGCCTAGGAGATCAAGACTGATTCTACCAGGTGTCTGAGAAGCTATGCTTGGAAGAACACAAGCAACCCCTGGGGTGTTCAGTAAGTAGCCTCTGAGCCTGGTAAAAAGTAGGCACCACAGGGAATTAGAAACATCACTTTACTGGCCCCCATGGCTGAACTGTGGAATCTTGGTTACTGCTGGAGCGACAGCAGTTGAAGTCTGCCTTTGGGAAGGGGAATTTTTAGTATTAGCACTTAGCCTATTTTTTGAAGCCTGAATTGTTTGCGTATGCTGTGGAACTTGTAGCTTAGTCTGGACTTCTGTTGTACTTTTCTAGTAAAACTTTGCATAACTATTTTATCTTTTTTTTTTTTCTTTTAATAATAGGAACTGCCAGTGAATCTGGATGACTTCTTATTACCAACAGATCCTGACTATGCCCAGGACATGTATGTCATTGGGGTTCAAGAAGGCTGTCCAGACAGGTAGCAAAAACAATGTAATGAACCATCCTCTTTTATTGTTAACTAATTACTTTGTTTCTAATTAGTCTGGAAATAGCCTCCATCGTATTCTTAATATTTTCAATAAATAACCCATTTAATAAGACTCCGAACTCCATTGCACGAGCACCAGGGGAAATGGGATTTAGAGGAAAATGTCACAAGAATCTGTAAATACAGAACTTGGTCCTGTTGTCAGGGCAGCTAATAGCAAAACTCCTGTCTGAATTCTGTGGGCACCTTAGCATAGATCTGAGCTGGCCGTGAGCTAGCTCACGGGCTGGCTGTCAGCGTTAGCAGCCACGTGCTCATTAGTAGTACGTCGCTGCAGATTTCTAGTCCGTCTGAGATTGACCAACCCTAGAAAAGCAGGTTGAAGCCTCATGTCAGACTCTGCTTTTTTAGGGTATCTTCCCAGCGGGACTCTTTTCCTCAGATTTGCAAGCTGCTCGGTGCAGTGGCATTAATACTCTCTCACCGACCTGCAGAGCCTGCTGCATGGCATGTGTGGAGTTACACGTCAAACTGACGAGCCTTCACTGCAGCATCGCTGTGGCAGTGGAGGTGTCGCTTGCGCTTACTTGACGTTCTTTATCAGAGGGATTGCTCTGTTTTCACAATGCTGATTTCCTTTCCTGGTTATCGTCTCTTGTACTGTCCTTGTGATCCAGCTGTTGTTCTTTCCTGCAGAAGAGAGTGGGAGATCCGCCTGCAAGAGACGCTAGGCCCCCACTACGTCATGCTCTACTCTGCTGCACATGGGGTGCTGTACATGTCGGTCTTCATTCGGAGGGACCTGATCTGGTTCTGCTCAGGTCTGTGGTCCAGTAAGAGCTGGAGAGTGGGGAGGTGAAAGGACTGCTGCCATCGGGTGTCTTGTCCTTTTCTCCAGGGCTGTCCCCCACCTAACTTTCCTGCTCGCTGTCTCTAGAGGCTTTTCAGTAAAAGCAGCTTCTTTTTCTCCTTCCAGAAGTGGAGTATGCCACGGTGACAACTCGAATCGTATCTCAGATCAAAACAAAGGGAGCTCTGGGAATCTGCTTCACATTTTTTGGGACCTCCTTTCTCTTCATCACCTCCCACTTCACATGTGAGACATTTACAATCTTGTTAGAAGTGTCCTGATTGAGGGAGGAGGGGGGTTGCTTTACAAAGGTAAAAAAGCTGCAGGGGGGATAGAGGAGCAGGACAGACAAGTCAAAGCTCAGGATTGCTGAGCTGAGAACAATAAGGGAGGAGGATATTTTGGTAGCAAACTTACAAAAGAACTGTGTTTAGAAAAACAGAAATGAACTCTGCACAACTGCATCCCTTTTTTCACGCTTTCTGCCAGTAGTTTTCAGTCTGTGTGCTCCCTGGGCCAGTGTGTTACATTTTACATGTGGAAAATGTCTGATGTCCTTTGGAAGCTCCTGTTATAACCAAAACTGGTAATTGAATGAAAATGATGCATCGTTGGCGATAATGGGATTTCTGTCTTTCAGCTGGGGACAGTAAGGTGAATGAGAGGAAACTGGACTACAATAAAACCATTCAAGCCCTTACACTTCCCAAAAACGTTCCGGACACAAACCCGTATCGATCCAGTTCTAGTAAGTGTGAAACCATGCTTGTGTGGGAGCCCAAAGGAACAGCGTTTGTGCATTGTCTTTCAGTCTACGCTAAGGAAGAGCGAATGAGAGTGCTAATTTGAGACGGTATAAAAAGAGACAAGAGGTCTTTTGTCTGAGGATGGTTATTATTCACATGATTTTTTTTTCTAGGTGGGATGTAATTTTGGAGGGAATTTGAGAGAAAAAGTTGAAATGGAGGGGGAGAGAGAAAACTCAAAAGGAATTTTTGTATGATTTATTTTTTCTCAGAACAGCAATAAGATAATTTTGGTGTATTTTTTATCAATATTATGGATGTGTTTCACTTTCCAAGTGTTTTCTAAAGCAAATAGAAATTACTTTATTTCAAAACTTAAGAGAAGAAACATTATTTCAATTTGCATATACACAAGTGAATATATTGTTTGCCAAATTCCATTATTGTTTCTTAATACTGTGCTGTTAACATGACGTCTAGATATATAGCGAAGCCCTTTTTCTAGAAAGATGAATTTACTTTTTATCTGCAGTGTAGCATTAGGTTTTTGTGTTCATACTATTTTTAGGTCCTATAGTAAGTTTGGTCTCTTTTCAGCTTTTTCTATGATTTTTTAAATTTCTGTTCTGTTTTCTACTGGGTTTTTTATTACCACATTCTGTGATGGTCACAGGCAGAAAACATGCTCAAGTGTTATATCTCCTGGTAGTAAAAAGAAAGAATTTATGCCTGTTCCTTGAACATATCTAGCAGCACTCTCAGTAAGCTGTGCAGCGTACAGCTCTCACTTAGAAAGAATTAAGTGAGTTTCATTTTAATGAGCTACATCATATACTTTAATTTTCCTCAAAAGTCAAAAGGAGATTCAGGGGAGAAAAGTTTGGGATTTTTTTGTTTTGCTTTCAGAGCTTTTCAGGATGTTTACCTTTATACTGACACTTCTGGCTTGAATTTGCAGGTGATGTCACAACTCGGTTTGATGAAGTATTCTGGTTTGGTGACTTCAACTTCCGACTAAATAAGGATCGTGAGACCGTGGATTCCATCTTGAACCAGAACCCGGAAACAGACGTGTCCAAGCTACTGGTGTACGACCAGCTTACTAGTGAAATGAGTAGGGGTGAGGGACAGCGGTTTTTTCTCCCTAGCCACCAGGAACAGAGATACCTACACACAGAAATAATTACAGCCAAATCCCTATTCCCTAGAGACCTTTCCTGCTTTCTCTTCTTAAGTTCCCAAAAAAAGGAAGTCAGCAGTTGTCAAATACAGTGGCAGTCTGTACAAGGGACTTTTTGCTATAGCATTTTGCTATATATAGTGTAATCTCCCAAGCCATTTACTGCTCTGTTTCATCTGACTCCTCTATAAACTGGACATCGTTCTGTCACAGTGCCTAGGGCATTTAGATTTGAATAGCTAGCATTTGCAAAGCATCATGAGCTTTCAGTGGAAGGGGAAGCACGTGCACCAAGTGTTCTTTGTTTAAATAGCCACTGGCTGTATGTAAGAACTTGAGCTTGCTCCCTTTCTGGAGCCCAAGCCCAGGTTTTTCTAGCCATGTACGTACATGGCTGTTGTTTCTAGCCAGCATTAGTTAAGCAGTATTGAATAAATGCAGAAAGTGAGCGGGGTTCTTAGGAAGGAGGAATTTGTTGTTCATGCTGTTTTCCCCTTCCCTTACAGGGTCTATTTTCAAAGGATTCCAAGAGGCCGACATTCATTTCCGTCCTTCCTACAAGTTTGACATAGGAAAGGACAGCTATGACACCACTTCCAAACAAAGAACTCCTTCCTACACGGTAAGAGATGGTTTCAGAGCAGCATGCTCGGAAGGGCTGCTCAGCCTCACATCTGCCTCCAAAGGGGATTCTTACCTACGAGGAAAAGCTGCCTTCCACAGTTGGTCTGCATGAGATACAGTCGTGATGAGATGTGTTGCTTAAGGGCAACAGGGCAGGTGGAACTGCTTTAGAAGAAAGGATTGTTGAATCTGTGAGCACAGAGGGAGTTTGGCACAGGCTGCTAATGTTATTTGCCCTGCCTTACATCCTGTTCCAGCGCATTCTCCCCTGTGCTCAGCGCTGGGCACAGAACCGCTATTGGGATCAGACACACATTGTTCATGAACGTATCCCTGTCCAAGACACTTAATTTCACTAAGTGGAGTGTGATAAATGAATGGATTTGTCTCTTGTGAACCAGTGCTTCTTTCCAGGGTGGATGTGCAAAGGGAGTTACCATCAGTCTCCCCTCTCTCTCTGCCTCTCAGGATCGAGTTGTATACCGCAGTCGGTACAGAGATGACATCCATGCTGTCAAGTACTCATCTTGTCCTGTGATCAAAACTTCAGACCATCGGCCTGTATTTGCCTTGTTTCGTGTGAAAGTGAGGCCTGGCAGAGACAAGTTAGTACCTCCTTGTGCCACTCTGGATGCTTGCACATGGCTCCAGCGATCCTGAGGATACGCTCCTGTTCGGAGTTTGTCCTCTCAGGAGAGTTCCTGAAATGGAGTTTATCCCATGTAGCTCTTTGCAGCCTGTTTGTTTTTTACCCAATATATGCTCTCAGTGGTCAGAGCAGTAAGAGCGCTTAAACCTTGCACTGACATCTGAAATCCCTGCTGCCAGGTCCCTTAATCCTCCTGAGGGAGATAAACGGAGTCCATTGCAATTGACTATAAATCTGTGTTTCATCCGAGATGCAGCTCTCTGTTTTTCTTATCAGTGTGGACAGCTTTCCTCTTCCCCTCTTTGGGATCAATGCAGTTTTCTCTCCCCAGTGGTGGCTGCATTTCAACATAGCTGTATGTCAGTGGAGTATTTTGAGATCCTCCAAGTTTCTTCATGTCCCACTCTGGGCTGCCATGCTAGTGGAACTCCTTAGAAAATTTGGTTAAGTGACTGAAATTTAGTCTCTTTTCTGTGAGTAGCATGCTCAGGGATTTCAAGACCCAGGTGTCTAGAAAATGGTAATTTCTTAAAGCACTTGATCAGCAGTGCAATTAGAATTGGGATTTTTGTTTGTTTGTTTGTTTATGGGTATTAAATACCCATTAAATAGAAGTATTGCAGAGTCTGTGAAGCTGGGCTGCTAGGGTTTCCTTCTGGCCTCTCTAGAACAGACCAAGGTAAGAACTGTTGTGCATGAACCATACCAGCGAATACACCAAGCTAACAGTAAGCTAGTTTAGCTTTTGAAATGAGTGGTTTTTGGTTTAAGGTCATCAAGAATGTCCTCCATGTATGTCCCTTATGAATGCAGGCATCTTCATGCTTAAATTGAAAGTACATTTGCCTTTTACAACCAATATTTTCCTCATTTAAATGTATTGTGAAAAACCTTAACTTGTTGCTGTGGAAGACGACCTTTGTTTTACCCCTTTTCTCCCACAGCAGTAGCTAAATGCCTTAAGAAAGTAAAAATTAGGTTTCTGGCCTTTGTTGTATGAACTAATTGGGAAATGTTGGGCAAACAAGAAGAATGTATTTATGCCCTGATCTAATTGCTTGTGTTTACATTGTAGCATTCCACTTGCTGCAGGGCAGTTTGACAGAGATCTCTATTTAATCGGAATAAAGAGGCGGATTACAAGGGAACTTCAGAAACGGCAAGAACAAAAGGACCAAAAATCCAGCAGCGTATGTAGCATTTCCTGAGCTGATAACTCTGCAATGCTTGTGCTAGAGGTGCCCGGAAAGAGGATTTCAGGCCACGGCAAACTCTGCAGGGAATTGTCTGCTTAAGCACCTCTGGCAGTTGCTGTGGCTTGTGAAGAATGGCTTAAACCTCATCCTGGATTCATTTGCATGAGCTAATCCATGTAGCTCAAGTGCTTTTGCTGAAGAAAATGGAGTCAGTTATTTAGGACATCCATCCCAACAGATGTAATTGATTTATTTTTAACCGCACTATCATCTTTGGAAGCAACCGGATGCATTCTCTTCATTCTAAGATGACTCCACACAGGGGGCACAGCTTCTGGAATTGGCATGACCAGGGGCAGGGGACCGCAGAAAGGTGAAAATCTTTGTTTGTCTGTTTGATTTCATCTGGTTAGCTTACATATGTTGTGGGGCTGGTTTTTTTTCTCCTTACCTGTAGCCAAGTGTACAGTATTCTGTAAAATGTGAACAGGGACCAGTTAGGGGACTTGGGCAGTTTTGTGTAAGGATGGTGCTCCTGTGTTGGGCTTTTTTGGTCCTCTACAGCAAGATCTGTGTGAATGTACTACTGTACATTTGAACTGTAGAAACACTGCCTTTCAATAATTATTCTATAGGCCTTCTGTTACTAAGGGGGTAAATATCAATCTCTCACACCATATATTTGGCTGTTGAGACTGCTTGAAACAATCCCTTCCTTAACTCACTTGCCCTCCCCAGGGGTGATAAAACACTATCTGCCTTCAGCAGCAGGACACTCGAGTTGAAAATAATGGCCTGAGTACAGCTACTGTGTAATGCTTCACCAAAGTGATTTAAGATGTCAAGTGAGTACTAGGGAAGTATGCAGAGAAACTGCAGCAAGTCAGATCAGCGCAGTTCCATTACCTCCGATTACAGTTAATTCCTTTTGTTTTTATTTTTCCAATTCAGTGAACTGTAAATAAGTTGCTAATTCTGAAGTAGTGTTGTCTTAAGGCTAAACATGCTACATGGACCAGTATGGCACTGGTAAAATGTTAAGTACAGCTAACACTTAAAAACTTTTCATGGGCACAGATCGGCTGGATCATTAATCACCTTAGTACATAGAACACCGTGCAAACAACTTGGAGGAAGTGCTGCTAACTATGCAACCTGTCCCAAGACAGAGCTTCTGTTCTGCGGTACAAACATTTATGGCACTGACCTGTCTGTAGCCATCAGGTATTTCGATTTCCTTTCTTTTTAAAGGAATAAAAATAAATTAATGCAATACCTTAAATGAGAACCAGCTCTTATTGCAGGGTTGTCAGAACTAGAGTTCTTTGACTGTGTGATGCATGCTAACCGTTCGGGTGACCTGAGCCATTTGTCTTCAGCTGGAAAAGCGGGGCAGATTTCTTTGGGATTGTTTGCATTGAACAAAGAAAGCACATTTCACCTGCCAGTTCAAGAAACCCAGCCATTAGCTGATGAATTTCAGAACTCCAACTACTTGCTCCAGTCCTTTAGAGGTCTCTTTATTTTCTTACAAACATACACAACAACTGAATAGGACTTCCATGCTGTGGGTTCCACAAGAAGCAATGCAACGTTTTCTTCTAGTTGCATGAGGAAAGGTGTGGGGATAAAGCAGGTAATAGCTGCCTCACAGTGTTCTGCTCCCAGTTTGATTGCTCCTTACAATATACATCTAGCCAGTGAAGTGCTGCAATGCAGCCGTCTACATTTTTAAGCCTGTATGTTAGGGGATTACGTAAATCAAATGTTCTATTCCTCTCTTTTGGATTTCCATTTCTTCAGTATGTCAAATGCACATAGCAGCATCATAAGCAGCACGTAGCTTCATGTCTTTCTGTAACATGGCATCAGTCACTTTCAAGACCATAAGCTTTTTCAGTGTTGCCATTTTATTGATCTTGACTCCTAGCTGAGCGACATCTCTGCTGCGAGACTGACAATTATGTCTTCTTTTTGCAAGGCCTTAAGTTCTTCTGAGTGACAATGAAGAAAATGGGTACAAGTGTAAGGTGCAGCAGCAGCAACTCCTTTAATAACTTTGTTTGTATACCAACTCTGGAGTAAAAGAACTTTTATTCTTTAGCATAGTTCACTTGCAAGTGAAAAACCTGAAGAATAGGATCGCTTTCATTCTAGAGTAAGTGTCCACGTAGCATTATGCATAGTGCCTCTGTAGATGAACTCCACAGAAACTTAGTTATGCCATAGGTCTGCTTTCCTCTAGCAAAATTATGAAGTTATTTCCAGACATGTGACTTCTAGTAGTACTACAGATGGTAAATTACACTGATGAAATGGATCCATGATGCTCGTAACAAAACCTGGACTGCAGGAAACTTGTTGCCTAACTTCACACAGATAATAACTAGTATTCTCCTAATTCAGTTTAACCAAGTCTTTGTTCACCTTGGTAACAGCTGTAAATATTCTTTGAATTCAGATACGTAAGCCAAGCTCTTTAACATGCCACCACATTCCTCAAGAAGGGCACACACCAGGGCCTCCAGTGTGACAGCCGCACTTCTACTGCTGATCTGGTGAAGTGGTAACACACAGCAGTGACTTAGTTCTTCTCAAGATACATGCTTTCAGTTGTAGCGATGAGCATTTTGGCTTGCTGTGTTCTCCCCAGTGCCAAGAGAAGGCTGTATACACCCACCTTCTCTTGTAACCTACTCAGAGGGTCAAAGTACTCATCCAGAGCCAGGGTGGGCCTTTAAGCCCAACATAATGAGCTCTTCGCAGTCCAGTGTTCTGAAGCAGCTTTGTTCAGCTGTAGCATGGCTCCATGTTTGCACAGTATGCCTGGAAAGATGGGGGGGAAGGGCTTGCAGCAATATTATAATCTCAAAAACATATTAAAAAAGAAGCAAGTCTGTCAGACGTGCAGGATGCACTGCTTTATCGAAAGAGCCGGTACATCCGAGGGAGTCGCCCGTCCTTACTGGAAAGCGCTGCTTGGATGTGTTCGTAAGTGGGCAAATCTGTTAAGTCACCCAGTGCAGCCACAGCTGGTTTTTTATGAAGCATCTTAGTGACCACTCTCTTGATATCACTAGATTTCACCTGACCTGCAGGGGGGGGAAAAAAAAAAGCCAGAGTTGTGACAACTACATTCTAAATAGCATGAAGCAGCTTTATTATGATGCTGAGTCAGACCCCATGCTCAGAAAAGCTATTACTACCTCTAGACCTTCTCTACCACGCTTCTGTTTTTTCCTTCCTTCTGACAAAAATAAGCATTGTGCTAGCTTGCAAGCAATTGAGAAGATTGGTCTGAAATACATATCTGTAGTATTTATGCCCCCAGGCTTTCTAAGGCAATTCATCTGTGCTACAAGAGTACGTTGTAAGTTGCCCCGCCCCGACTGTACCTACAATTCAGTCAAGGCAAGGAAAGGCATTGTCTACTCACTGATCAGGGCACAGAGCTCATGAGGTAGCTTCCTCGTGTTTGTTGCCAACACTTGCCTTCCCACATCTTCAAAGATAACTGGCCGAGACTCAAGGTTCATCATGAGCATGGACTTCAGCTGCGTCTTCGCTCGCTCAAGTTCTACCTGTAAATGAGCAGCAAATACAAATAGATGTTCAAAAAGTCTGGCCACTGCTCTCTAATACAAGATACCACCTAAGAGTTCTGCAAACACCTTCTTCTTTGTGAATGTGTTGCTAAAGTTACTATATTCTTTTACAGAAATACGTAACATACTTATGTACAAAAATTCATTCTAGCCAGGCCAGTGCAATGCATTATTTCAGCTCAAAGGCCATCTGCACAGTCTGCAGGTTAGGCTGCTGACCTCTCCTACTGCTCCTGCCATCAGAATGAATTCTCTCGTGATGATTTCCACCATCTCTCGAACCTAGGAAAAACAGATAATTGAAAGAAGATTAGAACAATGCTTATTCTGTTAACATTACTGTCTGGTACTAAGTGATGGGATTACTTTTTAAGGACACCTGTCTTTGAATACAGGACTATGTACCTGTTTTGGATCTGCGCTGGCATGTATACACAGGAGACCTGTATCCTCATAACTGTGGTGGTAAGAGGTTGCATTATACATCCAGTGGTGTCTGTGAGTATACAAACAGTATTTAAAAATTTAAAAAACAGAATTTAAATGTAAAAATTAAACAAACATGGCCAGCGAGCCCCGTCCTAGTGCATTTTCAGGATTCTCAGCCGTGCCAATGAAAACTGTCAATCCCTGCCTCTGACAATTTCTGCATGTGCCATCTACTTCCTTCTCCACTTCCATCCTCGAGACCAAACCCAGAACAATAGAGAGCAGTATTACTGGTACCTACTGCCAATTCTGTTACTATCCCCTGATTAAAGGATGGATTGGGCTAGTGGAGGAAGACAGGATTCCTGGTCGCTTCTGCCCTTTACTTTCGCCCTCTCAAAATGCCCACCGACAAATCAGTCCCGCATGTTTCAAGCGGAATAAACTGATGTAAAGCCTGGGGGTGTTGGCTTTCAAAAGATGAAGCCTTCCATGTGAACCTGCTAGAGAAGACTGTTTCTGCTATCCCTTAAACAGAAAGGCAAACAAACCTGTTGAGCACATTGAGATACAGTCGGGTGAACATGCCCTTGCCAGGCCCTCCAGCTGAAAAAGAGCCACCACCTCCCATCATCATGTTTAATACCGCAAAGGGAATGAAATCTTCCTCCTGAATTGCAACAAGAAGTTCAGTCAGCTAATAGCACAGCTCTCAAGGGTCTGGGATGAGTAAAGAGGGAGAGTCAGAAAGAAACATGGCACAAGAAGAGTGTAAAGGTCAGTGAAACTCATCATCTGTCACGAGTTTCATCAACCTGTCAGTGAAAAAGCTGATTGTCTGTACGTGCAGCATCAGCAGCAAGAGTGCCAATGGTTACATAATGAGATCGTATTCTGGGATTCTTCAAGTACAGAGCACCCAAAACAAAGGGTTTTTAGATTAATACTTACTAAAAATGAGGAGCTTTCTAACCCAATCATGATGTGGGTAAGCTCTGGGATGGGAGTAGGGCCCAGACTCACATCTGACATATCTTTTTCAACCTGTGGGAAGGGCAGACAAATTATTAGGACCGATTTTCACCTCTGTTTTATCCAGCTTGATACATTCCCAATAATTAACCTGTCACCCAAATAATGGCTATCATGGCCAGTTCTGGCTCATATTCATGAACAGTATGTAATTTTAGAAAAGCAAAGCCTATAGAGAAATCGGCTCAAGTCCAAATCTGCACTCCAACAGAAAGGAAGAGGCACGATGCCGCCTCCACCTCCCTTTTACCTTGACAATGCCTCCTGTGTACTGAGCCACAGATCTGTCCACGTCCTTGGTCTGCCCACTGCCCCACACCGGCTCCGCTCCAAGCAGATGTTTCTTCGCACACTCCACTAACTGCTCGTGCTCGATTCCCACCCCAGCGAGCACCATCCTGTCTGGCGTATAGTAGTTGCGCAGGTACGAATGCAGGACTTCTCGATCAATTTTGTCAGTATTTTCCACTGGGCAGAACCTGTTCAGTCCAACTGTATTGTCTCTGTAGGCTGCCTAAAAGGAGGCAGATACATTAAAGTAACAAGTATTACATCATCCCCCTCCATCTAAACCTTCTCTTTCTGTTTTAGAATTACGCCTACCTGTTTGAGACATGTAAGAGAGGAAAGGCTGAGCATTATTTGACTAATGTCAGCGTAACTCAACAACATGCTATTATCCATGTCAACAAAAATAAGTCATAGATGGTTTTAGTTTGGGTTAAAATCTTTCACGTGTGTAGAATGTAGGATTTCAAAGTGGAGGGACAGCGAAATTCTCCCTCTCACCACTGAAATCTAATTGAATAGCAGAACAATCTGTTTTCAGAACAGTCTAAAATAAACCCTGAAGTTGAGGAAAAACTGAGGAAGAGAATGCAGCATGTCTCATACAGGGGACTGCACACAAGGTAGGCTTTTCAGTGTTTTACCGCATGGATCATTTCTGTGAGGAGAGGCTCTGGGTCAGGTCTCATGTTCAAGTCTTCAAGCTCAAATCTTATAGCTGTTCGAGTCATCTCAATTTCTTCATCTGTAATAAGAGAGAAAGCAAGAGATAACAACCACCACACAGAATACCCAATTGCTACATGATAACTTCTCGATGAGCATGATCTAATGAAGAATTCTGAGACCTAACAGCAAGTCATGCGCTGGGAGTCTTTTTTTGAGAGAGAGACTTATGTTCCCAGACCTGATAACCTGGGCTGTAGCGCTACATCAGCCAGCAAGTTGACCACTGTGTCCAGGCCTTTGGCGTCAGCAGAAACAGCGTACATTATGGTGTCCCTGCAACACAAGCAGACGGGTTCTGCACTGAGAAGTCACATCTACAATCATTCAGTAAACGTGCATCAGGAAATCACAGATAAAGCTGCTTGGCCAGTATCGTTAAATGCTTTCAAAAGGAAATAGAACTGACTTTCATAACCCTTTCACGTTCACTTTTGTAGCTTCTTAGGAGTCACCACAAATGGATTTCTGCTGCTTAGAAGCAAGAAGTGGCTTTTACTGTCACACACCAGAAAAAGCAACTCTAACTACTGTCAGTGTTACAACCACTCGGGTAACAAAGCACAGAGAAAGGGCATCGTACCTCGATGCCTGGCAGTCACAGATGCCCCCGTGCTTTTCTAAGGTGAGGAGAATTTCATCTTTGCTGCCAAACTGAGCTGTGGACTAAGAAAGAAGATACCAGCGTTATTAATTAGTAAAGCCATCACTGCTTATAATCCTTCAGTGTAGCCCAGAACAAGCATCTTTTACATTCTTTAAGTCAAATGGTTTGCGAAATACCCACTAACCTTGGAGGTGAAAGCACAACAGACTTTCGAAATATAATTATGGTCACAATAATTAACCAGGAATACCGTCACCATCTATTTAACCAGATCAAACCCACAGTGCCGCTGCGAGGAGCAGGCCCTGCCCTCGGCCGCTCTCTCGCGCTTCCCCCGGCCGCTCACTGTGCGGATTTACGGTGCCCTGCGCAGGCTCCGGGACCCCGCTACGACCAGCACGGTACTCACAGAGAAGGCCAGCTTTTCCAAGAAGTGAGAGATGCCACTGAGGTATTTCGCTTCATGTCTTGATCCCGAGTTTATAAGAACTAGCGATAAGAAGAGAAGTCAGCATGACTTTTACCGTGTGTGTCGTGTGTGTCC